CGGCGGCGGGGCGGACCGGGGCGGGTCGACTGCGCACCGGGGGCGGGCCTGACCTTGCCGGCGGCCGCCGTCGGTCACGGCGTGTGTAACGGTGCGGCGGCCTCGCGTTAGGTGAGGTGGTTGCTGCCCGCGGCGGGGTTCGGGGTGCGGGCAGGGCTCCCGCGGCCTTGTCGCGCCGGCGGTGGGCGTGAGGAGCCGGGCCGGGCCGGGGGCAGGCGGCCTGAGCGAGGTGTCACCGGGGGGAGTCCCTGCGGCTCCTGTCCCGCGGCAGCTCCTTCCTCCTCAGCCCTGGTACACGCTCGGGCTGCAGAGCTTTATTTATCCTGGCTGTTAATTATTTAAAGTCATATTTTATTTAACTTTTTAATTTGTGATGCAGCAACGTACCGCACTTGTGTTCACCGGTGTGGTTTTGTTTTACGGTTACTTGCTTGTTTTTTCCTCAGAAACTTGCTGTAAAGAGACCCAGTAGCCATGGGTCTGTCCGCCTCCTCCCCGGCAGCTGCGGGTCAGTCGCCAAACGCCCCCAAGCAGCATCCCACGGAGTCCCCACCTTCGGAATGCCCCATGCATCAGGAAAAAATGAGCGGTAATTATTCTTGAAACTTAGATGAGACCAGGTCTTTACACGGAAAAGAGATTGACAAATGTTTAAAAAGAAAAAAAACATTCTACAAGTAAAAGCTCAAGTTTTTCTTTTATCAAAAATAGCTGTCAAGTAACTTTTCATGAAAAGGAGTCAGATGTTCACCAGAAGAGTGTGCCAGCTCTTCTGTCTATAGGGAGCATAGGTGCTTGCTGTAGGACATGTGGGTTGTCACATTTCACAAGGGTCCTGCAGATCTGTTCCCATCCAGTGGTACGCACACAAAGGGTCAGGGAGGTGCAGGGGCCCCTGCAGAGGTGGTGACTGGGAGCAGGTGGTTCTTGCTAGAGAACACACCTGGGAAGGGGCAGCAGAAGGGTGGGATAAGATGACTGTCTGGAGAAGGAGGACTTCAGCTCTTCTGTTGACACAATCAGTGCATGTTGGATTAATATTGCCGTGGAAGTTTTAGCTATAGGCACCTCACTATAGGGGTGGGCAATGAGCATTCAAGGACTACGTAACAATTTTAGATCTTGCCATGGTGCTCGGTCCCAAAAAAGTCAGGAAAGAGAATAGTTAAAACTTGCAAACCTCAGAAGAAAAAGCAAAATACCAGTTTGCATTTATGTGAACATTCAATGAACTGTTTCCCATTTCCTGCCATGTTAACCATTTTGTAGCATAACATACACTATTTTTGTGTTACCATTTTGTAGCATAACATACACTATTTTTTTCTGTTACTTAGGTTGTCCAATGCATATGAAGACTCCTGACCATAGAGCTGAGAACACAGATGATGTTCCTGCACATCAGCATAGAGCGTATGAATTTGTAGCATGTCCCGTGACATCACAAATGAAAGATGACATAGATCCTAGCAATATGGTAATTTTCGCATAGTTCATGTGGTTTTTTCAGTTTTGTTTCTCTTGGAATACCCAAAATGTAAATAGTGATAGTAAGATGGAAAGACCATCAATTAACATTAGTTTTTAGTTTTTAGGACTGCTTTTTCTCATTTTGTATGCAAATATTTGTAGAAAACTACATTACACCTTATTTAACATTCTTTTCTTCAGATTTACATTTTTTTGGTAAAAGATGTTTTTTCAGTTTTTAAATATCTTTTGCTGTCTATTTCTATTTGTTAGTTATGCCTATGGTTTTTATGCTGCATTAGCAGTTTGTAGGTTCTGTATAATAGTGATATGGGCAGGTTCTGATTCAAATCTCCAAGATTTCCTCTGATTTACAAAAAGCACTGCTGTTTTGAAAGTTGAAGTTTAGGCAAAAGGGATGTTAGTTTTCAGATGACAAAGTTGTGCAAAGAGTTTTGCTGCAAAAGAGAAAGATTATTTTAATGGACTTCTATGAAGGCTGAACTTGATCTTTGTAGCAGCTGATTAATTATGCTTTGATTCTTCTTGAACACTGTAACATAATAATAATTCCTGCTCGTTTGTGGTTGATTCTCCTTGTTTTCTAGATGCCACCTCCTAATCAGCAGCCATCTCCAGGTCAACCATTTCCATTGTCAACTGTTAGAGAAGAATCTTCCATTCCTAGAGCACATTCTGACAAGAAATGGGTCTACCCTTCAGAGCAAATGTTCTGGAATGCTATGCTAAGAAAAGGGTAAATACACTGTGAATTATCAGATGGAGTCCGAGAGTCTGAAATTCATGAAGTAATATCATTAGTTATTATTCATTGATATTATTTAAGAGTTTGTGGACTCTAAGCAGTAAATAATTAACTAGCTAATTATTTTTATAAACAGCTTTGTTTTAAAGGATGAGGTGGTCTTAAAAGCCATGTCTCCTCTACTGATCAGCAAGACGGTAGGGAATGTCAGGCAACTGCCACTAGCTCAGAAAATTTTTTTAAAAGTCAGTGTATAGGCAGGGACAAATGCTGCATGATTGGCAGCTTTCAAACTCAGTCAGCTTCATGCTAACCCTGTAAACTGATAGTAAAAGCTCTATCATTGTGAGAACATCTAATGACTTTACAACATTGCTAAGTGGGAGAATTGTTTGACAAGTAGGTGTTTTCAGTCCTTACAAAAATTTAGTTTAGGCAAGATCTAACTGAATTATAATGTTTCCTGTGGCCGAAAAAACCTTCCTGTGCTGCTGTTTCCTTGTTCTTTTGCAAGTATTTGTCATTCTCAAACAGATAAACTTTTACGGCAATTACTATTAAAACAACAGTAATTCTTTGTTCTACGTATCAATATTGTTCTTAAGACAGTATGCCATAAACAGTCCATATTGAACACACTAGTTGTGATCCTGTAAACACCTGACTGTGTTCCATGTTGTGCCTGTTGAAAAGGAAGCACGTGTGTAGTCATAGTGCAGGGTCAGAGAGAAGAAAGACATTTCTAAATGTATGCAAAATGTATTCAGTGCAGGACTTCCGTGCATTAGGAATGCAAGTGGGATTTTTCCTAACCATTTTTATGAATACCATGGATGTGCTGATGTTTGCATACTTGGATAACTTTCTGATCCAGTTAAGCTGTTAATTTAGCTAACTAGAATTTGTGGATTGCTAGGATGATAACTTTGATGATTGAACTTGTACACAGAAAATGAAGTGGTTCTCAAGATGCTTAAGCAGATGAGCCGGAAGTTTCCATGCTTGCTTTGTGTCTTTGCATAAAACCTTAAATCTCTTGATTCAAAAATCCATCAGGTAAACTGAGGAAGGCGAAATAGTTATGCCGTAATGCTTATGAACTGTTTCCAAATTCTTCTTTTAGGTGGAGGTGGAAAGACGATGACATAACAGGTGAAGACATGACCAACATCATTAAGATTCACAACCAAAATAATGAGCAAGCTTGGAAGGAGATTTTAAAGTGGGAAGCACTTCATGCTGGGTACGTACATATGAAATGAAAAGCAAATCCTTTGGTTTAGCCCTTGATTTTGTAATTCTTTGAAAGTAGAAAGTCTCTAGTTCTTGCAGAAATATTCTGATGCTGCTGTGTCGCAAAAGTTAGGGTCTTGTAGGAGCCTGCATTTTAATTAATATAGAGGAAGATTATCTATTAACTAGAACTGAATAATTACTATGTTGATAAAACTGATGAGCATTTTGGTGGTGTGTGTATAATGTGGATTTGGAGAAATTAACTTCTTACTGTATTTATTTGGAAATTATTTAATTGATATGCTTATATTATGAAAAGGATATGAGATGTAAACTTGGACTAAAAGTGACTGGTGTAAAACAAGCTCTGTCACTTTTTAGATCAATATAGTCCCTGTTCCTAGAAGAGACAAACTGGTTAAGCATTCTGTATGTAGGAATTGGTCTTTGAAATTCCATGACCTTTGTTACACAGTAGTTGGGATTACGGTTTTCTTTTCTTTGATCTATTAAATCTGTGGGTTAGATTTGCTGAGGACTGCTCTATTGATAAATTAAAATAATGTTGCGGAGCATATCAAAGGTACCTTATCATACCAGCAGTAACTGCTGTAAGAAACTAGGGGACTTTTCAAACCTTTTAAAAAAAAAAAGCTGGTTTAGATCACTTGTAATTATTTTTTTCTGGTTGCTCTTACTCGGTTTTTCTATTACTAAAACAAATTACTGTAGTGGTTTAATTACTTAAAATGAGACTGTTTTAACAGGTAAAATGACTTTCTTTTTTGATGCTGTGCACAGGGAATGTCCATGTGGACCATCACTGATGCGGTTTGGAGGCAAAGCAAAGGAGTATTCACCAAGAGCCAGAATACGTTCATGGATGGGGTATGTGGACAGGAAAGAAGGTCTTACAGTGAGGTGGGAGGGTAGGCAGACATATTTGAAAACATAATGTAGAATTAATTTTAAGATCTTCCAGAACTGGAATTGCAAGTTAAAATTACCAGAAGATAGAAGGACTACTGGGGACCTTATGCTGGTATCTGCATAAATAAATCTTAAATAGGACTTCCTCTCCCAGGTTCATAGTATCCATTAAAATATCTGTGTGGTCTATTATCTGTCTTTCCAGATATGAACTTCCCTTTGACAGACATGATTGGATTGTTGACCGATGTGGAAAAGAAGTGCGCTATGTCATTGATTACTACGATGGTGGAGCAGTAGATAAGAACTACCAGTTCACTATCCTGGATGTTCGCCCCGCGTTTGACTCTCTCTCGGCTGTGTGGGACAGAATGAAGGTAGCTTGGTGGCGGTGGACTTCATAACTGCTCCTGTGGTGTGTAGTCGGAAAGTAAACCACTTTTCTCCTAGACTAAGGATAAGTGAATACTGGGACTTGAAGTAGAAGTTCATTGCAACCATCGTTATTTTCTTCATCACCACTTGTTCTCTGGGGATGGGGAGGGAGGATGGGGAAATGTGTTGTTAAGTACACCGGTGCTTTATGGTGTTTCAAATGAAATAATAAAGTTATAGTAGCAAAAACATATCTTAACTTCCTTAAGAGCTGGGAAGTCTTTTCTTGCTTTGTCACAGATTCTGCATAAGCTTGCTGCCTTTTCATGACTCCAGAGCTGCACCAAATACATTAGGTTTCTGATTCTGACTGGAGTTTTGAGTATTATTTAAATAGCGAAAACTGGAAATCTCATAAATGATTTCACGTAATTACAGCTTTTGGATACTTTAGATGATGAATAAAGGGTAAAAGATCTGGACTGTTTCAAAAGGCATGTTTTATTAACTATATAAAACCGTGTGTTTGTTTTCACATGGACACTACCTGTTCAAACACATGCTTCCTCAGAAAACGTCAATAAAGTTTATTCTGTTAGAGGAAGTATAGTGTAGTATGAGTATTTTTAAAGGTATGTTAAGTTGAAAATAAGGAGAATATATGCATGCCTTAATCTGTGATTTATCTTTGAACAGAAGAACATGTGTTAGAAACAGGAAATGATTGTCAGTTACTTTTAAAACATTTCTAAAAGGAGATAAAATTGATATTTAATGGCTATTTATTTGAGTATTGAAAAGGTTTGTTTTCTGGTGTCTAATGCATGTCTCAAGTCATTCAGGACAGAAATAAGCCTTATTCAAAGAAACACGCAGTGCATCTGTATTTTGCATCTTGGGTTCATCAGCTGTACTCTAGCAGGTGGGTTTGTTTTTTTCCTTATACTACAGAATCGTACAAGGGTGGATGAGTGCAGTCATAGGCGTTACTGCGTAGTGATTATAGGCAGGCATATTACAGGGTGCGTGTAACTTGGCTAACAGGGAAGCAAAAATGCCAAGAAGTAAGGTTGATGTGAGCGCTTTCTAAGAGTGATGCGTGTTAATGCTGTGTGGCTTAAAGATTTGATTAAAGTTTGTGCTTAATAAGGGAAACCAACTTTTTTTTTTTTTAAAGTCTTCCACTGTAATAGCTTTAAGTCTGCATGGCTTGGTACGTTTCAGTTAAATATTCCTCCATTTCAGCATATTTTACTCTTGAGAATGAGTCCTCCATGCAAAACACTTGGGAATGGAAGGAATAAAAGAGTATCAGATTGTAGCTTCTCAAATGGGAGAAGCTTACTTCATGAAACTTCACAACATTAGCTGGGAACCAGCTGTACGCTCATTTTCTGAAAGTGGTTATTTTTAACTGACATGGGAAGCTTTATTGGTTTTTTGGTCTGAAGGGAAAGCCCCTCAATGTTTCAGTCAAGTAATTTTCCACTTAGGAAAAAAATATTCAGGGAAGCTTTCATACTTTAAAGTACTAGTAGAGAGGAACGGTTCCCCCTTCAGAGGCAACTGTCCTGCATGGTAAGAATAAATAGTACCCAAAAGTCCAGAATTCTAAAGAGAAAACCACTCTCTTAGCCCTATCCACTTGCCTCATTCCTTTTTCACTTTTTTGGTGATTCATATATAAATGAAAAATAGTTTGGGGCAAAAAAAAAAATCTCCGAGTAGGCATTTTATATGTATGAGATCTATGAGAAATGTGTGAGCTTGTATTGGTAATGAAAGAGCTACTTCTCTCTGTTCTAACAGTAAAAACAGGCTTACTGCTTTTTGGGGTGGTTTTTTTTTTTCCTTTGGTTGGTTTATGTATACATTTGGTAACTTAGTATATGCACAGTTATGTATTTCTCACAATTAAATATGGAAAAGATACACCAATGCAGGGAGTGCTTCAGAAGCTTCAAAAGAAGGAGTTTGCTTTGTTGATTTCATAAGTGTGATGTTGAGCGCGTTATGGAAGTTGTAATTGCTGCTAAATCTGATGAAAGGTGTCACTTGCCACTTCATGCGTTTACTGTCATCTGTTATGTTCCATCTCACATAGATTCAAAATTGTTCTTTTCTGTGCTACTGTTAATGAAATGTACTACTTTGTCATCAAACAAAAAGGAGAATCAAATAAATATACTTTTCTTAACTTTGGTATTTGGTGATCATATTTTTAGCTGTAAGAATTATTAAGATGAGTTCTTGCATGTGTCGAATGAGATTATAGCGTGTAACAGCTAATCACAGCTTTGAATACGTACTCTTCATTTATTTAGGTGAATACAGAACCAGGGACTAAATTCAAATCTTTGCCAACTAAACCAGCAGCTCTCAGAATAACAACAAATTGAAGCCAAATATATTCATCCTGAGCCTGGCTAACTTCTGAAGAGAGGAATGCGTGGATTTTTTTGTTTGTTTTTAAATAATCCTTGAAGTGTAAATGAAAATAATTCACTTCTATAAGGAGTAAAACTTAAGGGAGTAAACATGTAGTTTTCTCTTTTACATTTGGGTTATTTTATGCATGGTGTTGGCAGTTCACTATTTCTCAGAAGATGGGTATCAGAGTGATTAGAATTCTAACAAACTTGAAAAACAGTGATTGATGTTTTTTACCCTTTGGGAGCATGTTTTAACTGTAAAACCTGTTTAGGCTAGATTAATGGTAATGTGTGTGTGTATGCATAACTAAATACATTTATATCCTTTCTTTCTAAGTGTAGAAAGGTATGGAGAGTTCATGAAGCTCCAAGAAGTGAAGAAGTATCCTGATCAGGCCCTTCAGGGAATTCAGCAGCATCAGGCTCCCAGTCAGGCCGAAACAGAACTTTGGAACCCAGCATCTCAAACCAGGTTAACCTTGTGCTCATGGAAAAGGCAAAATGTAGACACTGGCACTAAAGCAGGGCCATTTTAAAAATCAGCTGTGTGTTTAGGTATCTAAAGTTCACTTGTGTTCTGCTTTACCATGTTGAAACCCTGCATGACTGTGTTTGATGTACAGTTAAAACAAGTTAGGAGAGCACTCCTGGTTGGCACCTGAAGATGTGTTCTTCGAGGATATTGCGACGCTCAGAAGCTGCAGTCCCCGTGACTGACTGATGGAAAAGGACTCTGGCAAAGCACTCCAGCTGTACTCAGGTCTTGGGTCATGCACAGGTAGTCAAGAGTGGTACTGATCTTTGTTACCTGGAACAGGAGACCATTCTGAGTTCAGATACGTGGTTTTGGCTTCTTGCTGTTGTATGGCTGCAGGCAGCCAGTGACTGCCCTGCTGTTAGGGTGCTTGCCACCATGCTGCCAGTCTGGTGGGGCACCAAACGTGTGGTTGCTGTGTCTACAGCACCCTCCCTGCTCAGTAAGGCTGGACCACCTCTCTGCTCTTCCGCAGCATGTCCTGTTAGTATCTGTGGCCAACACGAGAGCCCTGTAATTAGGGAGTAATTCACAAGCTTGTCCTTCTGTGATGCCTGGAGTTCCTGGCTCTGTTGAGTCATCCTAGGGCATTTTGCCCTGGCAGGCAGTTTGGACAGTGGACCTGTAGCTCTTCTGCCACCCTTCCTTTATTTATTCCCCTCTCCCCTAGAAACAACATTGCTCCCCCTTTTCATATTATGCCAGTGGTCTTAGCTTCAATCTCTAAGAATAATTTTTCAGCAAATTCCTAGAATTTCTTCCCTATGTTGCTGTAGAAGAAAGAGACTGTGTTGCTGGTAAGAAGGTATTTGTGTCCGTCATCGATTATGGCTATTTTTTACTGCCAAAGCATATTGTTCTGGATTACTGTTTTTGAATTATGATGTCAAAGAGGTAAGCTAGTTTACTGTGAAATGGGACAACAATGCTGTCTAATACTTACATAATGTATTTACTATCAGGACTTTATGTGCTGTGTAATTATTTAAAGTCTAAAATAACGATGATGAATATTATTCTATCTCCAAAATGTGTGAGAGTGGCAAAGGGTGTCTCGGTGCTTTGAAAATGATCGTAAATAGCCTGTCATCTTACGCACTCCCATGTTGTTTGTTCAACTCTTGTGTCAAAGCGTGGGGAAATAATGGTGAAAGCTCAGAAGCTGGAGATACTAACAACAGATACTCAGGTTGCTATAGCTCAGCAGCTAAAAATGAAGGGAACTTGTAAACTAAGGAGTGCTGCCTAATTTTTGGACTCTGACTAATGTAGTTTTTATAGAGGGTAGAAATGCCCCTTTCAAAAGCGCCACTCCGTTACTTTTTAAAGAGGTCTGATCCCAGCATTTACTAAATTAAACGACACTTGAATTCTTTGTCTCCCTTTGGTTATGCCTGGAGGAAAATCCATCTAGTAGGGTTCCACAAAGAGATGTACTTGATATGAAAACTGAACTGATTTTGAGGATAGAATATGCTACTCATAGTGCTAGCTGTGCTTACGTCTGCAGTATCGCACCCTTCCCTACCCACAAGTATCTTACATATGTTCTTTTTAAAAATACACTGCGTTGCTAGTTTCCTACAAATTTTTAGTAGGAAACTTGATATGTTTTTACTGTCACTGAAAGAAGTGGTTTTTTTATTATTCTGTCTTACTTTGTACAAGGTAAATTGCAGGCAAAGGTCTATATGCAGTGAATCAAGTAAATATTGATTCTCTTGGCGATGTTAGTAATAATAGGAACCTATGGTCATACTGGATATGTCATTTTGTAAAAAGCATTCTTTTTAGCTTGCATTAGATGGTTAATCACTTTTATGTGCATCTCCTTCAAGAAAAAACAGTTTGCCAAACTCCTAGAGAAAGAATCTTAAATCCTTTTATGAATGTGACAGTTGCATCTATTTGGCCTTACTACTTGTACATCAAATTGTATAGAAACCTGTGGGCAGAGTACTAGTCTTGACCCCAACCTAAACGTGTGGCCTTCAGCAGGTGTGAAATAAAGGATTATTTACCAGTGATCCACCGGTCCCAATGGCAGCTACACACAAGACATGTCTGCAGATTTGCAGCATGGGTACCTGTCTTTATGACTGGAGTCTGAATGAATGAATGAAATTTTCAAAGGATAATGTAAATTTATTGGAAGTATTCGGGTGGTCATTAGGACTTATTTCTAAAATAATAGTTTCCTTTGCTGACATTCAGTTTGGATGATGGCATCTCTTACAATACAGAAACCATCACATTTATTTTCAACATACTACGGCAAAAAACTCTGTTAAGTCATGATTTCTGTTTTCTGATGTTTTGCAAATTTTGTGGTAACTACAGAAAGTTTTAGCTGTTTTTCTAACATGCTGCTGCTCTTGCCTCCAGCTTCTGAAGACTGTGACCCCATAAACCTCCTGTCTATAGAGATAGCTAATGCTTTAATTGATCATTAGTAGACTTTCAAAATGAGTTTCCATCTGCCAAAAGATTAAGTGTCTTAGGGAATTGACTGAGAGCAGTTTGATGCATGGAGGATAAATGCAAGTGCCTTTAAAAAGCACTTCTAGACCACAAGTCCTTGAAAAACTTGCTTCTAAAATACTTAAAAGAAAAAGTAATAGAAGAGATTTTTCCTCTCATTTGTTTTTTCTTCAAATTAGAGAAGGCTTGCTTTATGTATCGATGAGAATTCGTTAGCTCATTTTCAAAAACCAAAGAGCAAAACCTCATGAAAATGTTGAATTTAACCTTAGAACAAACCATGCAGATTTCGGGAGCTTTAATTTGAGACGTAAATTGTTAAATTAATTAATTCCAACTTTAAAAAGCACATGCTTTGTGCCAAAAAAAAAAAAAAGGTGAAAAATACTAGCTGTACTTGAGTATACTGAGGAAGAACATCTCCATGTTTTATCACAATTTTTCACAATTACAGGGGTTGCATCTTCTTCTGTTTTCTTTAAACTTTTGCTTTTCAGCTTTGGAGTGGTTTTTACAGGTTTTCAAGTTAGTTTTTTCTCTGCCATTTTTGTACAAGCCACTTTTGGGAAAACTTCTACCATTGTGACAACACTTACAGGTGTTACTACAGAAATAATGGCTTCTTTCTTAGGTATCTGAAAAACCAGAGCAATTTAACTCTGTTAAGAACAGTTGTAGCTGGTGGGAATGGCATCCTGGCTGCATTAGGGCTGTCAGCATTATTGTGGCAGAAAATACAGGCACTGCAGCTGTCCTACAGCCGTGCCGAAAGGTGGAGGTGATTGGAGTTGTGTAGGTTAGCCACCACACTTAGCTGTCGTTATGGGGTCCTTGTTAGTCTCTGTCTTGTGACCCCCAAATGGGCAACCGCAGTGATGCTCAGACTCTTCCTGCCGGTCCTTTAATGCCTTCTGGAGTACATGCTTTTAGGACCGCTTACAGTTGCGATAGCTGGGAGGGTAGAGTGGCTGGCAGGGAAATGGTGGTAAAAAGATGTAGACGGATGTTCCAAACTGACTTTTTTTTTTTCCAAATGTCTGTCTACTCTTATTTGCCACTCAGGGGAAAAAGGGTCTAAACGCACGATTTTATATATAATCACTAGTGGTTGTCGACGCAACACCCAATTGATTGGGGCCGTAATTACAGGGAGTGGAAAGCAAAGGATACTACTTTTGCAGATAACACTGGAAGATTAATCTTACCTACGTATGAAAGGTTGAGTTCTGTTTGCCTTGTCAGGCAAAGTGGAAAGTACTGATATTGTCAGCGGCATATCAATTTATGACAGGATGCTGGAGCTGGTTTAATACAGGCTGACTCTAAAAAGCAAGATATATATTTTTAAAATTTTTTTAAACTTTATTTGCCACATGTTGATGGGAAAGCATCCATTTAAAGAAATGAATATGGCTAATGTTATTCTATCAATCAAACACCACAATATTTGAAGAAATAAAAAAAAAAAGAGGGAAAATAATATCTTGACTTCCAATTTAATAATAATGGAATATGAAGGCCAGATTGTAACTGTAGAAGTTCATTTCAAATTTAAATATTTAGCATTTTCACTAGTCTGTGAATACAAGAAAATTTATTACATTAAGATGGAATTTAGATCTTTGACATGAAGCTGATATTTTCATAGTGTGAAAAATATCAAGCTGACATTATACTGTCTCATTTGATGACTTCCAAATGTCAGAGTGCAGTAACTTATTCATAGGGACCTCGGTGTCTTGCGATAGTGTCAATTTAAAAGACATTTACATCGAGTTTTTTATTTAAACATGTAAAATGGAATATGCAAAGTGGATGAGGAGAAAGGGGGGAAAAAACAGGGGTGGGAAAGTTCTTAATAGTGGAATGAGGCACTTTTGAGGCTAATTCCCAGCAAAGCCCTCTGGCAGCTGCACGGGCCGCTCCCTGGCAGGGCTGCCCATAGCACCCCAACCCTCTCCTGGGGTCCCCTCACCTCCTTTCCCTCATTACCAGCTCTGCACTCTCACATTTCTTGTTATTTCAACAGAATTTAGAGCATTAAACCCAGCCTGGTACATACTTTCCTGAAAAAGATACCGAAGATGACTGCGCCTTGCGGTTAATACTGTTGGCTGTAGAAGACTTCCAGTCTCAGGCGGATTACAAAGCCACAACAGTTGAATACACGCAGCGTAAATTTATATTCTACTAAAACTTTACGAGCCCTGTCAGCACCCCGCGGACGACGAGGCTATTCCTTTCTGTCACACCTCGGAAGAGGGAGAGAGGGAGGGAGGCGGGCGGCGCCGGCGGCCATTTTGTTCGGCGCTGAGGGAAAACAGCCTCCCCGCCGCCGCCTCCGGTGCTGCCCGTCGCCCCTCGCCGCCTCTGAGGCTGCCGGGCTGCTCGTTTCCTGACGAGCCTGACTGAACCGAGGGGCAGCACCGGGGAGGCTGGACTGGAAGGGCCCCGCCGCCGGCCTCACTCTCCCTGAGGCGCGGGTCGGGGTGGCGGCGGCGTCCCCTGCCGGCGGCGGGGCTGGCCCCGCCGCCGGCAGGGGGCGCCGCCGCCACCCCGACCCGCGCCTTCAGCCGCCGCCGCCGCCATGTCGGAGCTGGCGCTGGAGGAGCTCTCGGCTCTCGCCGCCATCTACTGCGAGCCGGACGCCTGCGAGGTGCTGGCGGTCTCAGGTGAAGGCAGCCGGGATCCTTTGCCCAAGAAAACCGCGGGTCGGCAGGGTTTCGCTTGGGCAGGGCGGCGAGACCCGGCGCGGCGGCGGCGCCTCAGCTGGGGATCCTCCCCTCATCGGCCCCGGTTGACGGGGGGGGGGCGGCAGCACCGGCTTAATCACTTTCTATTAGCGGTAGCGGCAAAGATGGGTGCCTTCCCGGTTGTCCCTGTCCCGCCGTGTGTCTTTGCTGCTGGCCTGTTTGCAGGGGACAAAGTCTAGTGAGCCCTCGTTTATAATTAGCGACTTCCTTCATTCCCGCCGTTGGTGGTGCCTGTGGAGAGCTGCAGTAGGTGAAGGGCAATGGTGGGAATGGTGGTGTTCAGCTGTTCAGGTGAATCAGTGTTTGCGTCTCCCACCTGTAACAAGACCAGGCATTTATCCTGTAGCGTTTAACAGGGGGCCAGCTGTTGCTGTGGGTAAGAGGCCTTGGGTCATCTCTCTCTTTTTCTGGGCCTTACGATGTGCCATATGTTCTGTGGCCTCAGCAACAAGCATATGGCTGTAGGCTTTACAGGGTGCTGAGGATCATCTTTCATGTTTGCTGTAGGGAGGAAGGTGAGAAGATCCGTGGTGCTTGCTCCCATCAGCTGCTGGATGGTGTAGGCTGGGAATGCAGTAAGTGTAGACACCTGTACTCCGTGTTTTCTGCAGCAACCATGGTGGCCGCGGATTAGAGCATAATTTTAAGACGTGACGTTAATCAGTCTTTGCTGTCGTAGTGCTGTGGAGCTGCCCCTTCAGCAAGGAATAAATCTCAGTGTAGAATAGCAGTTACTATCAGGCTTAAAGAAAGTGTCAGGTGGGATATGCAAGTGTTGTATGTCTGTTCAAATCCAGAGCATAAGTGCCTACACAGATATGACAGCTCTCCTGTGGATTTGTTGGGGATATATATGCACACACACAGGGAATACGCATATGTTCTGTATCACTTGATGTCCCCTGGTGACCTGGGAGCTATTGCAGCGTGCTGCCCAGCTCCCCAGAGGAGTGATGGCAAGCAAGCAGCTTCCTGCTGGTTGGACTGCGGTAAAGTCCTGGAGAATGCTGTTAAAAATGGATCCAGTGGCCTGCCGTCAGATTTTGCCTGAGTGTGTATTCAGGACAAAAGAACTGGGATTGATAGGGAAACACTTTTTACTGTGGGGGTGACCGAGCACTGGAACGGGTTGCCTAGAGAGGTTGTGGAGTTTCCATCCCTGGAGATACTCAAAAGCCATCTGGACATTGCCCTGGGCAGCCTGCTCTACGTGGCCCTGCTTGAGCGGGGAAGTTGGACAAGATGACCTCCAGAGGTCCCCGCCAAACTCAACCATTCTGTGATTCTGTGAATGTAACTTTGTGTTGCTTTGGTGTGAAATTATGTGTGGCTGCTCTTGAGTGACTCACTTTAACTAATAAGTTACTAGGCAATTAATTGAATAAATCTCAAACTTTCATTTCGAAGTAGTTGTTGAAATAGATTTGCACAGAACAGCAAGTGGTCATTTGAGAAGAGAACTTTGTGTGTAGACATCCTCAGAGGGATGAAGGCACTAGTGTCTTCATGGAGTACAATTAACTGGGGTAACCTAAACGCAGATTTTTTTTTTTGTCTAGATCTGCATGATATACGTCTTGCTCCAGTGTAGGCAGGTAATTCTGCCTTTTTTTTTTACTGGTATTTAGAGTTGTATTTTAAAAATACGATTCATGAAATATTTCGACTGAATTTTATATTTTTAAAGTAAAAAAAGTTCAGGAATGTTATTTCAGGCATAGTTTGAAAATACAGTATCCAGGCTTAGCAGATGTTTATTTTAAAAAATGTTAACGTATCTGAACATTGCCTATGCACGTCTGTTCCTTAAAATCTGTTAGAGGAATATAAGCATATTCTTCTCTGTACTTCATACACAGAAAAATGATTTTGTGTTTATAAGTTACCAGGATGAAAAAAGGCTTAGAAACGTTCCTGGAACGTAAAGTGCCACAAGTACACAACAGGAACAGGCTATTATATTTATACTGATGTTATGTGACCTTGCAGGGCCTTTAGCCAGGCAGCGTACACAATATGTTAGGATCATGTGTATTGATTTCCATTGTTTTCTGCTGGAATCGAAAGATTATGTACAACGATGATTATTGGTAGTTTTCTTAATTTGAGAATTTACTTCTATTTTATGTTGGAGCTACCGGATCCTTTAGTTTGTATACAGAAAAGTTTTGCTGTATTCATTAGCTTACATTTGCTTTACCTTTTCAAACCATATAAATTATCATTGACAAATGGTCCACAGAAGTAAGTTCCAGGAGAACTTTTATGTTATGCTATCTCTGATACATTAAGAGTAATTTGCGTGTAGATCCACAGGATCAAAAAGGAGGCCATTGGGGATTTATGGTTTTGAGATATGTAAGAAAACGCTTTTGCAGGTCTCTTGGTATGCTAAAAACTTTGGCTTTCTGGAATTTAACAATGAAGTATTCAGAATTTAAAATATGTTTTTATCAAAACCAATGTGTTGATGAATTTAAATAAACTAATTACAGTGTATCTTTTTTACCATACATATCTATTTACAAAGATTAGCGTTACAGATAGAAATCCATAATTTGCTTGTTAATCTGTTCTCTTCTGGTTTGCTCACCAAGCTTGCTATAAAAATATATTTATATATTCTGAGCTTGTACGTTAGTAGGTGCCGTTTTCTGAATTTAAAAATAGACTGCATGTGTTGCATAAAATGCCTTTGGGCAGGAGAGGAGGGGGATATCTGTTTGGTTGACATGGAACATAAGAAAAAATCTGAAGTATGCTAGAGCTAAATATACTGATAAGCATGCAGCTAGGGGGGAAAATGAGTTAAAATGTATTGAGTTTAGTCTTATTAGCACGTTAAATGCCAGCAGAATGGTCAAACCCAACCTTTTATTTCAGAAATAATCACCGTTTTGCTGTGAAGACAACTCAGACCTTGTAGCGCGTGCAAACAAAGGAAATATTTCTTTAGAGCCTCGTTACGCAGGGCGACGGCGGTTCGCTCTTTGTTCTGCCAGCCCTCTGCAGCGCTGGTGCAGAAAATGGATGCTGGAATGTTAAAATAAACTTTAGACACTGTAGCCCCACAAACGTTTTGAACCAATTCTCCTTTTTTAAAAGTAAGTCTGCAGCAGATGTAAATGAGCACGGCTGGGCTTTTCGCGATGGCTCAGGGTGATACACCTCGGGACGCGGGGCTGCGCTGCTTCCCTCGGATTAGTTCATCATCACAGGGAAAGGTGTGAGATTGTCACAGGCTTAAGAATATGATCAGTGCAGCAGGAGGCCCTTGCCGAAGGGGCAAGGTTGGCCTGTCTGTTTATCCCTCAGTTACTTCTGAGTTGGTGAGATCTGGTATGACAAGCTAGTGAAAAAATCCTAGGAGGATTATCAGAAAGGTAACATGTTTTTCTGTCACTGTAATTAAGCTAGTAATAGAGTAGTATTCTTCAACTCATAGACTTTGCTTTTTAAAATCTATTGGCAGCATAGTTTAAAATAAAGTGCTTCACAGGCAGGAATAGAATAATATTAATACTGTTCAACCAAATGCAGCTTGCTTTCAGCTGGCCACGTACCTGGTGTGGGTGCCCTGTGTAAGGGGCAACTGGAAGGAGGTGGATTGGCAGGCACTGTCTGCGTGAGGAGACCCTTTGTGATGGCCATGAGGGTGCTGGGGGTACCAGGAGGTGCAGTGCAAGCTTTTCTTCTTTGTGTGGTTATGTGTACTGAGCCTAGCGTAATGGCAGAGGAGCTGTTGTTGCTGGTGCCCAGTAAGAAATGTCTGTCAGGGCAGCAAAAGACAGAGATTGGAGTGGGAAGGTCCTCCTGCATAGCTACAGCCCATGAGCACGGGCCGCATGCTGTCCAATGGGTGCTGTGGAGACTGGAGTCTCTTCCAAGGCTTGTATGTTTCTGAGGAATAAGCTTGTCTTAAAAATAGTCTGGAACCTTTCATGGGGTCTTAGAAGGCTGGAGACTAACTCCCTTTGATAGGGGATGAGGCTTTGACATGTAGTGCCTGTAATTACGCACATGGTTGAGTGTAATTTCATGTAATTCACTGGATTTGTGTCCACTACTTTTGGTGCTGCATTTCATTCTGTTTAGGTAGCAATGTTTTGTAGATGTTTGGAGACTTTTACAGTACTGCTAGAGTTTGCAATTGTGTTTGGAGGGTTTGGGGTTTGCTTATTTTATTTTGTGACTGCTCTGACCTATGGAGTTGTTCATATGCCCCAGGAGGGAGGTTTGGAAACAAGCCCTTGGCTAAGTTCTCTGAAGTGTTTCTGTCTGTCCAAGCCACTTTTACGATCTTTCACTTATTTAGTAGGGTTCAAATATAAAATCATAGGGAGCACTGAGGTTGGTTAGCGGCGTCAGCAATACTAATCAAACATAATTCAACTGACTGTCATGTAAAGGAAGGTAAGGTAAGGTAGGGGGAGAAGAAGGCAAGTCACTTCAAAAGAGCTCCTCTGAAACTCAGCTCTGCTCTCATCTGCCTTTCAAATCTGACTTCTGCTGCCCTCATAGAATGAATCAAACTGACATTTTAGCAATTTTTTAAAGAAATGGGGTGAGGTGTTTAGAATGCATCAAAGGGGTGAAGCAGAGAACATCTGAAGAAGATCATCTTTTATCTGATACCCTCTTTCTTCATTGCAGAGGAGCAAAAGTAGGTTAGGTCTCTGTCCCTGCTTTTCACTTCATGAAGTTTTCTATTTTTCTGTGAAACATGTTTTAGTCAAGAAGGTTTTATTGCAGGAATTACTGTACATAACTTCCATATTCATTGTCTTTGATTATGTGATCCGTCCGGAGGATGTGGTCTTTTGCCCTTCCTGCTATGTACTATGTGTTTTCTTTTCACTCTGAAAATAATTCTGTTCTGAAGTAGACTGACAAGAATTTTTGAGTAGATAATGCAGGTATATATATGGATATTTTTATATAAGTGTGTGTATATATATATATATATATGTATGTGTGTAGTATCTAGGGTTAGATGTAAACCAGAGGTGTTTTAATTATGACAGTCCAACTGTTGTAGAGAAGTTGGCAGAGAAGAGTTAAGCATAGTTTCCCTGAAAGTTGTAGGGGACAAAGAATCTGATGTTTTTCTTTCCAAATCTCCCTTTAGGGTAGAACTGCTTTTGAATGGTTTTCTTCAAAAATGCTTAGTACGAGTATATTTGCCTTGCGCTGATATTGATGGTAGATGTCTTACAGGTTTCTCTAGGAGCAGAGTTAGGGCAGTGCTGAGTCCATCCAGAAAAGTCTCTATTTTCGGTTGTCCTTGCTGCTGCTATTGAGCTGTAGAAGCTGACTTATGTGTTTCTGAGAGACAGTTCTTTATTACTGACTTGTCTAGACTTTGAAAGAGCCAAAAGGTGTGAATGCTTTTTAGAATGTGTTAATAACTTTCCTTCTAGTATGATATGGAAGTGTTTCATTTCAGGATCCCCTGCAAGTATAGCTTGAGCCATTGGTTGCAACCCCCCACTCCGCAAAAAAAACCTACACCCCTTGTTTTATATGGAATGGCAGTCATTTGAGTTAAATTGTTAAAGAAAATACATATATGTTATTAAGCCATGTTATTTCAACTTCAAGCAAACTATTAATGTTTATTTTTTTTATACCTTCCAGAGACGCATGGAATCACATTTAGAATTCAAATCAGCGTGAAAGAACTGCTGGATACTGATGTACTTTTAAAGCTGTTATTTCATTTACCGGTCAATTATCCATCAACTCTACCAGATATTTCTGTTAACTCGGACCAGCTTACAAGGGCCCAATGTATGGACGTGAAAGATAAATTACTTGAACAAGCAAAGAAGCATCTTTCTGAACCCATGGTACACGATCTGATTCTTTGGATACAGCAGCATCTTAAGTATGTCATTAAGCAATCAGCAACAGTTTGCAGTGAAAAACCTACTTTGTCAAAAGGAACAAGTACAGAGGATGGTATCTGGATGCTTCTTTTGCATTTAGATCACATGAGAGCAAAGGCAAAATACGTCAAAACTGTGGAAAAATGGACTTCAGATCTAAAGCTGACTGGAAGACTGATGTTCATGGGCAGGATAATATTGATTCTTCTTCAGGGTGACAGGAGCAGCATTAAGGTGCAGGAACAATGAATGTTGACTAGTTCTATCGATTTACCACAGAAACCTATGTGTCTGAATATTTTCTATGTGTTTTTCTAAGATGAACAATTTTGGAAACTGATCATTAGAAGACCAGGAAGGCCCAACAACTTTATTCTGTATTAAAGAAAAAGAAGTTATTCTATGAGAAAGAAACCAGTGATACCTCTAAACCTGTGGCCTGTATTGCTTTGCTTCCCTCTGTAATTAAACCCCTGTATTCCCTGTGTTTCCTGACTCTAATATGCCTTGGTGCGGGCTCCTGTATTTCCCAAACACCCCAGAAAACAGAAAATTAGTGATGAGAAATTAATAACGTATATTTCTCACTCATTTCTGCCTCTTTCCTTAACTTAGGCCGCATGGTGCTCCTACTGCACACCTGGGCTTTCAGCTTCTTGTCTGTAGTTATGAACTCCCACTGCATTAGGCAGGTTTTTGTGGTAATATTGGAGAAGAATGTTTTGGGTTTTCAAACCCATGTTCTCTAGACCATTTAAAACTGTGCTTAACTTCAAGCTGATGAATAGAAACGGTCATACAATTTTGGGGATTGGCACTTTCTAAGTTTGATTGCTATGTTCTGAAAAAAACCTACATGTTTCATTACAGATTTTTGTATTTTACTGGAGTTCAAAGATACTAGGTGATATTTAATATTTTGTTCTCTTTTGTCATTTAGGAGTACTTGATTCTTCAGAAAACTTCTAAGGTAGATGTGGACTCAAGCGGAAAGAAATGCAAAGAGAAAATGATCAGTGTACTGTGTGAGACAAAAGTACAGTCACAGCATAAAAGGTATAATTTGGTACTGTTGTGGATAGAAAAGTAACAAGAGTTGATAATTACATTCTGACAAATCTAGGCATATTCATGAGTTTCCCTTTTACAATGTAGGTTTCAGACGTTTGAAGTCAAAGAGTATTCAACGCTGGATGAGCTGCAAAAGGAATTTGAAACTGTGGGACTTACAACTCTTTTCTCTGAGTTTGTGCCTCCTCTCTTAAAATGAAATTAAAAGAAAGCACTGAACTCTTTGACCAAAGCAGCAGTTGGCTGCAGATGCTGATGGAAGATCAAAGGATGAATTTGGCAAACAACGTTACGGCTTTTCTGCAAAAGGTGCCAGAAATAGCCATCCTCTTGCAAGCTGAGAAGGCAGTTCATACGTTAAGAATTGGCAATGGTTTGACATTTATATAATGATATTTTTTTCCAAGGAATGTGGAGTTAATTGTGATGATTGCATGGCAAGCATGAGGGATTGGGAAGAAATCATATTAAAATAATAGTCTTCTAGTTAGACTCTGTTTTGCAATCCGTGTTTTTCAATGTTTTGGTTTTTATATCTCACGGTAGTGGGTTTTTTTATAATGGCCTTCTAGAAAGCAAAATTGATTTTGATTTGAAAGCTTATGTGAAGATATTTCTATAAAAAGCAAAGCAAACACAGATTTGAATATGTGAGGACAGCATATACTTAATATCCCTTAGGTGTTCATCTGCTAACTTTTCCCTCTCCATTTATTTGACTGTAAATGCTAGGCTGTTGATTTAAAGAAAAAGTGCATGTCACTTGGGGCCTGAAAAAACTTAGAAGTGTCTTGGAATGTTAGTTTTTATTCTAAAATGTATAAAAACACCCAAGTGGAGAATTTGAATTGATTAAAAAGCTAAGTTAAAGCCAATTGTAGTATTTTCTTTGATAGTTTACAGATTCCATTTTGCACTTTATCTGGTTTTACTGTCTGTGCATCTTTAAATACTTTGATTCAGTTAACCTGTCAGAGCAATATACATACAGACTTCAGTATTCTGTCTCTCAAGACTTCAGTGAAGTCTTCGGTCATTTTAGAAGCTGGTAAGTTATACCTCCCTATTAAACTTTCCCTCCCTTTAGCTTTTTTTTTTTTTTTGATTGGTGAGTGTCCTTGGCCAGCTTGTAATTTTTTCCTTATCACGTCTGTCTTTTACTTCAGTATAATGTTGCAAATTATATACATAATTTTTACAAATGAAATTGTGCAAGTTTTGTTTGCCTGGGAAGAACTGGATACTTATTTCTTATAATTATTAATGTCCTTTGGTTTCTATTTTACCTTCTCTAGCAAGACTAGAGAAGTTGCCCAGTAGTAAAAATTAAGTCATGAGTTTCTCAGTAACTAGTAACACCATTTAAATTGGTTTAAGTATGTAGCTAAACATGTGCTTTACTGCTCTCTAAAACTCACTCCCAGCAGCCAAGTGTCTCACGTATTCTTTGTTAACTGAATAGTTTTGATCAATTCAGTGTAAATTAAATTCTGTCCATTGTACTGGGGGAAGAAGACTGTTACAATTTGGTTAGTTCCCACAGCATGGCTTGGTGAATCATTATTTAAGATATTTTGATTTCCAGTTTCACACTCAGACCATGAGCCCACACCTCTTTATGTATACTGGAAAAGCGACTAACGCAAACTATTAAGATTCTTAGGTTCTACTATTTGAGATATCAAATGCACAAAGGGTTGTAGACTATTTGAGAGCTTCTGAAGTTTTTAAGAAGTTTGGTGATTTTCCTAATATGGAGTGTCTCAAATATGTATGTTGGCCTGTTATTTTAAGCACTGAGGCTTATTTAATGAGACAGTAGCAGAAGCTCTTCTTAATGAGTCTTTCGTGTGTAGTATATATAGTACTTCAGGCACACTAGAAAACAGACTGGGTTAAACCGGTTTTACAAATCTGTTCTATATTATTTTGCTTCCTGAGAGAAAGGAAGTCTAATTTTCTATTATTTTAAGTGTATGCGGAAATGAATTTTTACTTTTATAAAGAAGAATAAAACACAAGTATCTTTAAAATATTAAAATAACATGTATTTTAAATTGTAGTTTTTAGAATTAAGCTATATCCAGTTAAAATATCTATGTTGAAAAAATTGTGTGTTATTGGAGTGTAAAGTCTTGAGAAGATGCAGAGGCCCTTTCTTTATACCATGCAATAAATCTGGTAAGTATCAAAACCAAGAAATGGTCTATGCTTGTACAGTGCAAGGAAACGTGATCAGTATTTCTCTGCAAATCTAGATGTTTTAAGCTTTTGCCAGATGGATTTTATGTCCTCAGCCAGATCTTTACTTTAAAATGCTCCACTTTGCTGCAAAATGAATAGTAAGGTAATTCAGCACAACCTGTATCCCAGTCTTGGCTACTAAAGCCTAGCTGGGGCCATGTATGTAAATCAGTTGTATATTCTTTCTGTTGATTTTGGGAATTGGGTTGAGTAGTGTACCCAATCGTGATCTCAGTTGCATGTGACTGCAAAAATAATAGAGGTATACAGTTGTTGTGGTCATCTTTCGTGCAAGATTTGATGCAGACTTTCCAACTTTTTCCTCCCCATATAAAAAGCTATAATAAGAAAAGGCATTTGTAGTGTCAGTGGTTGCCAGTGGCACTTGGATATAAACTTAGATATTTTCTTGAATACTATTGCCTGATGCCTTCTTGGCTAACTATTTTGTCAGAGCTAGTGATCTGCAACAGTCAGTTTTAAAAATTAAAAAAAAGTTGAAGAACAAGTGACAGTTGGGTGAGTTGTAATTCTGTTCTGATCTGTGCCCGTCTTCTTTCCAAAGTTGTTGTAAGAAACTAGATGATTTCTGTATTTCAGGAGTTGTAAAAAGCAGTTTATAAAATGAATTTTTATCATAGTTGAATTTATTACTCACTAACTTGTATTTGACAGATCAGCAAGTCCAGTGTAGGAAAGGACTGCATTTTTTTTTGCTTGTCTTGACGTGCTTCAAAAGAATTACAAATCTGATCAGCTTGATACTGTTCAGACAGCAAAGAACATGAAAACTGATGTTAGTCTGATTCTGTCAAAGCAAATGCTTTTGCCTACCCATCAATCAGTCACTTATTTTGAAAGGTAGAAGGATATTTTGTGTTCAGACAAGTAAACAATATTTTTAAAGGTTGTTCTTTTGGAAGGATACTGCAGCTGTCTGTTAACTGATGGTTTGTTTGCATTTATTGTAGAAAGAGATGGGCAAGCTTGTGAGCCCCTGGGGCACAAAAGTCATCGAAATGCATACTGTGGTGCATGTTCTGCCCTCCAAGGGAACTGAAGCAGACATAGAAGAACAAAAAGAGCAGGGAAATGAAGTCAAAACTCCTGAGAATAGTTAGAGAATGCATATCAGTGTCTAAAAAGTTAGTGAAGTGCATATAGGTATTAGAATCAGACAATCAATTGCAAGGAAAAAGAAATTCACAAAGAAAAAGTGGTTTAACAAATAAGAAGGTAGCTTTTGTGTGGATATTGTATTATACATAGTTCTTCGAATGGCATGGTTAGTAAAACCTTGTTTCCTGTGGCCTTGTTTGTGTTTGAACAATTGACAACATGAAGCCTTTCTTGCAGAGGAAATATTCATGACAATGCTTTCCCAGGTGGGTTCTCCAATGCTTGATATTGATTGTGCTCTCTGCATAAATTGTAAGAGTATCAACAGCATTTTTCTTCCTTGTCTGCTACCTCTTTTCATCAAAGTTCTAGGAACTTGGTTTCTTTCAGGCTGTTAACCTCTTATTTAATTGAAATGAGTTGAATTCAAAAGTTCTAGAGGAATTTTCTAGTATAAATACGTGATGTAGTATAAATACAGACAGCACAGCTGCATAACCGTAGTTTCTTTTGAAAATCAGGCTAAAATGAAGGCTCTTACAATAGATCTTACTTGAAGAATCAAGTTTTTAGGAAAAACAAAGGTTTGATTGGTCTTTTTGAATCCCTTGGTGTATTAAGTGTGAAGAAAACAAAAACTGGACTAAAAGAGAAAGAAAGAAACCTAGAAATAGGAGCAGAACCCCAAACCCAAGATCAGCCCTTATTGCAGAGTTGGTTTTGCACGAATACGTCGCATCCAAAGCGTCCATTCTGATCTGGGAGAGAGGCGCTCGATCTGCAGAGGGTGTGTGGACCCGCAGGGGAATGAATGTCTTGGCTGGGCCCCCACCAGTCTGGAGAAGAGGTGGCACTGGCTGTGTCGGGCAGGTTTGTTGGCAGACGGTACGCGTTCGCTTTTTGTGCTCCTTTCATATGGTTTCTGAGTGTCTTACGTCTGCGTGTCCTGTGAGGAGAGGAGGAAAGCCTGGTCAGCTGTGCAGCTCTTCTCCTGATTACCCTTTGTGTGTCAACTCTTAAGCCGAAGTACCCAAAAGGCCAACATGACGCCCAGATAATTTTTACTATTATGTGTAACATCAGGTCTTGCTACACATGTATGCCAAAGTAGTGGCAGAGTAGTGATGTGTGTGGAAACAAGGACGTTAGGGTGCCAACAGATGAAATTACTCAATTCTGCAAGAAATCAATCTTTCTGCAGTTTCGTTTTTTAGAATTGTTGCTGACTGCCGTTGTGACTAAAGTCTGTAGATCAAACCGTCTCTGTCTTGGTAGAGGGAGAAGCTGGAATAAAACTCCCTTCCTTTCTGTATTAATCTTTTAAGGCATTATTTAGAGCATTAATATGTACTATTTGTATTTAAGGCTCTTTGTTATCATCTCCTGGAAAGAAAGCTTTGTGAGCAGCACATACTGTGAAGTAGCCTACCATTCGGGAGAGTAGTGTGACTTCAATGGGAGTGTGCCAGTCCAGAGGAGGGAATACTTCCAGTGGGGGACGTTGTCAGTATTGGGAATTAATCAACTTTTTTTACTTACTCTACCTCATTAAGATTATAATTCTATAATTATAGTTATTCACTCTGCCCCCTCCCCATTTGTTGTTTGCAGTTACAGGGAGGACAAGACATATCTATGTTGGAACTCATAGATGAAAATCCTTGACATAATCAATTAAATAAAAATGAAAGTAGATTTGACTGTTCTGTGAGTAAGGCTAATTTTTGTGGGTTTGTAGTTCTAGGTCATTTTCCTATAATAAGACTATTTGCCTGTTATTTCTGTGTGAATGACTCACAAACCCCACAGAGATTAGTATGAAATATACACAGAAATGCTGTAATGATCCCAAAGAAACTTCATAGGGAGAAAATATTTTGTTTGCATAATTTCTTTTTAAAAATAGTTTAATAAACACCACATATGGATGATTTAAAACCTAGTATCCCTTGATTTGTTCAGCTTTATCTGTGAAAATACAAATGTGATCATGTTATAGTTCTTTGAAATAAGATGATGAAATGTCATACGCACTGTATTTCTGCCAGAGCTTGAAACTGAAATTGCTTATATTGTGAAATAGTGCAATTGTTGGAATCTACTTTCATATATCTTACAGTTGTTTTAAACATTATCATCCTGTCTCTTTGTGCATAACACATGCAACACTGGCAGCACTCTGTTCTGGTTTTATATTTTATATGTATACTTAATATTATGTTATCTTATGCAAGACTTATGATTGTTTATAGGCTTAATTATAGATATAAATGGAAATGGAAATATTCTAATAGCATTTTGCAGTTATTGTTCTGTGCTATTTTCATATATTGGCTTTCATATCAATACTAGTTTGTGCTGTCTAACCTCGCAGTATTAACCTGCAGTGAAGAGAACTCTTCAGAGTGACAGAAAAATTTGCCTAAAAGACACATTAATTTAAGGAATTCTTAGGACTCTAAAAATCAGTCCCGTAATATTTTAGTTAATTATGCATTCAGGTGCTTTAATT